ATATATATATATATATATATATATATATATATATATATATATATATATATATATATATACACTGTTGTTCAAAAGTTTGGGATCTGAAAGATTTTTTTTACTTAGTCTTTAAAAGAAGTTTCTTATGCTCTGCAAGGCTTCATTTATGTGATCAAAAATAAAAACAGTAATATTTTTAATATTGTAAAACATATTATTACAATATAAAATAAATAGTGCTGTCAAACGATTAATCGCAATGATTCACGATTAATCGCATCCAAAATAAAAGTTTTTGTTTGCATAATATATGTGTGTATACTATGTATGTTTATGTATATATATATAAATACACACACATGTATATATTTAAGAAAAATATGTTACCAGTGTGTAAAATGTAAAAATGTTACATTTATATATTAAATATATTTATATATGATATAATTTATATGAATATAAATATAAACATGTAAATATTTTCTCAATATATGCTGTATGTGTCTTTATATATACATCATAAATATACACAGTACACACACATATATTATGTAAACAAAAACTTTTATTTTGGATGCGATTAATCGTTTGACGGCACTAAAAATAAATGTATTCTATCATAATATATTTGAAAATGTTTGATGGCAAAACTGAATTTTCAACAGCCAATACTCCAGATCCATGATCCATCAGAAATCGTTTTATTATGCTGCTTAATATTTTGGAATTTTTTCAGGATTCTTTGATGAATAGAAATTCCAAAAGAACAGCATTTATTTGAAACATTTTGTAACATTATAAATGTCAAAAGTTTGACTCCAAACTTTTTAATGGTCTAAACTATCTACATAATGATAAATTGATTGCTTCTCTTTTTTTCCATCCACTCTTTTTTTTATATCTTCAGGTGTGGGATCTCTGCTGGCCCGTTTCCAACTGACTGAGGGTCCCAGTAAACCCGCCCCGGTGGCAGTGCAGTTCACCAGTGAGGGCAGCACTCTGTCAGGCTGTGACATTGAGCTGGTTGGCCTTGGATATCGTTTTTCCCTCATCAAGAAGAGGTTTGCAGCAGGTGAGTTATGCAAGCGACATCTGTTTTGATCATTCATTTACTAGGAATCTTCTGGAGAGTCAGAATTTGAGATTATCAAGGCATTGTGAAAATAAGTTACTGTGTGTGCTTTTATCATAGGAAAATACATGGCAGACAACTAAACAACGCCATGCAAGTCTGCATATTTCAGACCAATTCTGAATATTTAAAACACAGGACATGACCCCAACCTGACATTTGTAGATGTACAATACAGGTGGACCTCACACACACACTCCAGAAGTATTATTGTAAAATTGCATTGTAAAATGTGGACCGTTTTAGGGTGTACTTCTTATAATTGTGAACTGTATTCACTTGGCAACATCTGTATTAAGGCAGTTAAACGACCTGGGTTTGTTCATAAGGTTAAGCCTCTATTTCTGTTCGACGTGTTATTGGCTGTGCCTACGTGAACCTGAATTCTCTGTATCCTTCTCTAAAAGTGATACTGAACATGTGATGTGTTTATTACTCTATGCATTCAGTTTGTCAAAAGTATCACATTTTCGAACAAGGTAGCAAAATAGTACGATGAACAAAAGAGGAATGAGCCTCTGCCACAAGATGGCGCTATACTGTTGCATGTAGTATGAGGTCTGCATCGGATTTTGGTATTGTTCAAGCTTATTTAGTTATGAAAACGTATTCAGGAATATCTCATTTAAATTTACACACCGCAGTCAGGTTCATTAAATGGAAAATGATAGAAATTATATTTTGTCAAATCTGTTTTTAGACAGCCTCAGCTTTAAAAATCTCCTGCTTGCAATAGACTCACAAAAAAATGATTTTCCTCAACAGAAAACCATTTTAAATTGAAAATATATATCTTGAAGGCCGTTTGGTGTTTTCTTGTGTTGTTAAATAGCCTTTCTGTTGTTCCCGAAGGAACAGTGTTAGACTCAGAGTAGCTACATGACATAATTCTATTAATTTTTTCATGATTTGTTGTATAAAAAAAAAACAAGTTACACTGTATATGAATAGACTTTGAATGGTATCATAATTTAGGATCCTTGAAGTTTTTGACTTTTTGTTATCTGTGTAGTTGGGTAAGCTGTGTACAGTATAATGCCGAGGTATAATTTTTAAATTTATTTCAGATATAATTTTTTTTAACTCAAGTGCAACAGAAAATTTATGCTATATTGGGTCAGGGGGTGACATTTAAAAGAGAAAATGAAACAGGATACTGTAACTACCTAGATGCGTCATGCTTGATGTTATTACAGTGTTATGTATAGCATTAGTTCAACATGGATTGTCAGCTTTTGGACATTGTAAATTCTTTTATCATTCATGCAGATGTGTTTGTATCCAGCCTCTCCCCCGCAGCACATGTTATTGAGTGTCCTGAGCATGAGCCCCTGCGCTTCAGAACATCTTTATTTTGCAAATGGTAACGGTCTCTGTGAGATGACAAGGTTCTCGAGTGGTTAAATGACCAAAATCGCTTTTTCTTTTCTTTTCATTTGTATATGTATCTCAAGAATTGTCCTTTAAGAGAAAATAAGCTGCATATTTTTTAAATGTTTAAACCTATGAATAAAGTGAAAAATATTGTTTCTTGTGGAAAAAAAATTAAAAGGAAAAAAACACTGTGTTACTGTTTAACTTCCCAGATGCTCTGATGTTCAATGTCAAGAACAAACATTTTGGTTACATCTTTGAGTGTCTGATGTAGACGTTGTGATGGTTTGGAGAAGAATATACTGGTGCTTTGTGATTCATAGGTTTCCATCCACATTTAAGGTTAAGGATGAGCGCCGCCATCCGTAAACACCGCATTGCATATTTTCTGAGCACTGTATCTATAGGGTTTTTTATTGCAGAGTTCAATCGAAGAACAATTTGAGTCTGTCAGCTGAAAGAAAAAAACCTATGAATTCAATTGTGTATAATGCTTAATCAGTATGTCTACATGGTTTAAAGTGAAACGTCACTCAGCTGCGAAAAAGAAATGAGAAAACTCATGTCAGTTTAGATGTAGGTGGAGCTGTGTGTGAATGTTGAATTGCGTTTGGGTGTGTGTGTGTGTGTGTGTGTGTGTGTGTGAAGTTGTGTATGTGTAGGAGCAAGAGTTTGTGTGTGTGTGAAGTTGTGCATGTGTAGGAGGAAGAGTGTGTGTGTGTGTGTGAAGTTGTGTATGTGTAGGAGGAAGAGTGTGTGTGTGTGTGTTGTCTGGTAAGTGTAAATCATCTCTTCCCAGCAACATGTGCAAGTTGTGTTTGTACACAAAATGTTAACAAAGATCTGAGATACTGAGATTACTTTGCTCTTTCCAAAACAATAAAACATATAAGCCTGATAAGTGGATGTATTGTGTTATGTTTAAAATGTATCAACTAATATCACTGTAAAATATTATGCCAGAAATTTTATAATATCATATTTAATTCATAATTTAATTTAATACAGAACATTTTAATATAGTTTAATATCAATACTCAGCTAGGTCCAAACTGGTTAAAAAACTTATGGAGTCAGACAATAAAATATTGTGAAATCATACTGGTGAGTTTCAGGTTTGTTGGGGGAAAATAAACACCTTTGATGCATGCATATGCAATAATGTTTATTGACAAAGTTTGCAAAATACAAGTTATAATTAAACACTTTAAATGCAAGATTACTGCTGTTGGTAACTTGATATTAAACCACTTTTCATGGTGCAGCTTAGAGTACAAGTGAAGCAGAATGATCTAATCCCAAATTAGACATGTTTTTTTACATAAATTAGTATCATCTACTGGCAAATTAAGCTGTTATATGAATCACAACTGACTGTACACTTAGAGTACACTTATAGAGGTGTTCATATTCATCTGGACTCGATGTGGAAGAAAACATATAGTGAGACAAGTAGAAAAACACAGATTCAGTTCTCAGCAGAGCAACGTGAGGTCACTTTTCTTGCAGCCAAACTGACAACAAACGTTATTCAGGTCTCGCCTGGTCAGGTCAGATCCCAGACTCTCACTAAGATCCTCAGAACTGCTTAGATCTCCTTTAAAAAACCCTGTGCAATCACAAACACAAAATACAAAGTTATGTTGGAAACTTTTGTATCTACTCAGACTTGAGACAGGAGAGCATGTTTGCTGCACTGTGAAAATGACACAGGAGTTTTCTGCATTAACTCAGCTTGTGTCAGTCTAATGGGAATGTAATATCACCAGACGTTGTTTATCTGTTGACTGGAGAAGACTTGATCTCACTGATACAATTAAAGCAGTGCTCTGTTAAATATCATCAGACTTGAAGGGTAAGAAAGAAGAAGAGATGCTTAGATACTCCTACAATCGTAGGTCATTTGCAGAAACTTTTTTCTTAGCAACTTATAGAACAGTTTAAGAGAAAATATAAAAGCCAAATAAGCAGTACATAGAAATATAGGAAAAAATACATTCTAGTTTTCTATACTTGTACAAACTAGAATGTATTTTTTCATTGTTTTACTGTATATTTGACACATTTAAATATATACATACAAAAATTTATTTTTTTAATGTTTATATATTAATAAATATTTTAAATGTATATAAATATGGTACAATATCACCAAATATTGACTATTTTTTTTTATATTTAATAATATAAAATATCTCCCTTTTTCTTATATAATCTTAATTGCCAGTTCTTTCAATTATTTTACACTCATTTAATTATTAATCTGGATTCAGTTAAAACTAAGAATTTCCGAAGGGTGACAGAGGCTGTTGATAGAAGAAATATTATATTAGTAATAAAATCCTTATTTACATACAACAATTATTATTTTAGAACTATTTTAGATCATCTTTTTGTACATTTGTGGAATATTTCTAATGATTGCATTTACATGATTGAAACAGACAATTAACTACTATTAATTTTATATAGAAAGAGGTTTAATTTAATACATTTGCATAGGGAAAAAAGTCTTTTTCATATATAAACTAACTAGATTTGTTCTAAAGCCCAACACTGACACCAGCATTTAAGGCACATGATGATGTTTTCAGAATTAGCATGAATCTCTGCTATGGAAAACTCACCTTCCATATCCTGCGGACTGCTGAACCTCCTCCACCTGGAGCCCCCACACGTGTAGACGATGGCACGGATGAACTCTCGGCCGCATAGCTTGACTGTCCTCACATCAGCCTGCACGTCTGACACACTACACGCAGCCCACAGCAGCAGGACAGGCAGCAGTAGTGCAGGTGAATGAAAACTTGTCATAGTGGCTTCAGAGAGCGTGTTCCTCCTGTTCTGTCTCTCTAAGGTCCGCTCTATCTTCTGCCAAGTGCCAACCTCTCTCGGATCTGGCGAACGTCTGATTAGCTCATGGGACATGACCCCAATTTATGGCAGCATGTTGGACAGCTCACGCTGGACCATTCCAGTCTGCCCAAACCCCACCCAACACTTACTCGATCCCCTCAAGTCAAACAACTTTAATCGGAAAACAAAGGGCAGCAGGTATTTAGGTGCTTTACTGCCCCAATCTGGAATGGAATTACATCCTTAGGGACAAGCTGTTGTCTCTTAACATCTCCAGTTTAATGGTTTCACTGCAATGATATTCTCCTTAATGAATGGATAATCTAGTCACATAAAGACCAACGCTGCTCCCCGAGCAAAACAGATGTCCACTATCTGCTGATGTGCCCATCAAATTCTGTTCCCTTAAACCTAGTTGGTCTATGAGAAGGAGTAGTGCAAATGAGCAATATGGCTATAATCCCAGCCATTATGGTTTTATGGCTGATGTGCCCCATGAGATGATTAACAGTATGATCTCTACTGACAAAATAACATGTGTCTGTGGTCAATACAAGGAATGATAACAGGAAAAATATTAAGCGAAAAGTTTTTCATCAAAGAGAAAGAAATAGTTTGTTTCCTGAATTCAATTACAACTTCATTAACAGACAAAATTGGTATATAAATAATATATGAGATTTTGTGTTGAAGGACATCCATGGCACATTAAGCTATCATAAGCTTACAAGTAAAAGCTGACATTCATAAATATTGCTTTAATTATTATACTATATATGCTCCAAAACAACTTTGTGGGAATACTGTAGCCTATCCTAGCGTCTCAGGTCAAAGCAGAGAAATACCTTGGATATGATATGATATAACATATAACATAACACAATATATTGTATTATATTATATTGTATTACACATGTCTGTTAATTAAATTTTAACAATTTAGAAACATAGTAAATGTAAATTTTTTTTTGTTTTTACCTTCCATTTCTTGCTACATTAAATTAAAAATGACTGCAATAGGTATTGAAACTAATATAATATAATATAATATAATATAATATAACCGGAAGTGATAGTTGACATTCAGAAACATTGTTTTGATTATTATATTATCCTCCAAACCGCTAGGGTTATGAGAATGCTGGAGCCTATCTCAGGCCAAAGGCAGGGAAACACTCTGGATATTATATTATATGATATTATATGACAAATTTCTCTTAATTACATGTTCATTTATTTCAGAAATCATACTTAATATAGAATATAATATAATATAATAATCAAAACAATATTTATGAACATTAACTTGTCCTTCAACACAAAACCCCATGTGGGAAAGTGTTTTAAAATGTAAAATTACCATATGCCATATGGATAAAAAGTCCCATATAAATTAGTAAACAAGCAGGATCCATTTCCTGTCATAATGTCACAGCTGTTCTTTTTAAAAGCTCCCTTATTTAAGCTGAGTTGCATCTTCGTCGCTAAATTGTTTGATTTGTACTAAAAAGCTCAGATGATGGATTTTTCAGAGATGTTAGAGAGAAAAACAGTTCAGTAATGAGTCATTTCTAAAAGTGTGATGTGGTCCTCATGTTGTAGATAAGCTGTAATATGTGGCGGCCAAGTGGTAATAAAACTGTCTGTCCATTACTATAGAACAAACACTTACATTCTGTCTGTGGTTCCCATGGAAAGAAAAAAAATATTACCATATGATAATACAGTATAGTACTTTGACTATTGTGGGGAAAAATGTGTTCCTTACCAATCAATACCTAAATGCAAAAATGCTTGCAAAAATATATTGTTTGAAATACAAGCCTGTTATCTCTGGTATTACAAAAAAAATCACCATGCTATAATTAATTGGAAGATTTAGACACTTAGTCTAGGTGTTTAAACATTTACCTAAGAAGATTGCTTATTGTTTTGTAGGAGTATATTTATTCCCACAAAGAAGCACAATAAGGCACAAACAGGCAATGTGCTGTAATCCCATTGTTATGTAAAATGGAGTCGCTCAGTCTGCCAGAGAATATAAATTATGATGATGAAGAGGTAAAGACAAACAGCCTGACCCTCGCCTCCATCAGTCTTTCCTAATGTGTGTTGACTGGACAGTGTGGACCGAATTACATCCTCCAACATCTCCACCTACACAAGAGCTATAAATGATTTCCACGTTTGAGTAAATGGGTTACTTGGAGTATGGCACAGATCGAACAACATAGAACTGAACAGATAAGGCTTCACCTGTGTGCTGCCTCCAGCTGGCAGGTTCTTCAGCTTGTACACAGTGACCTGCCCCTCACTGTCCCCCACCAGAACACAGTCTGTCTCAGGGGTGCACAGCAGAGCCGTCGGATTCACTCCGGGACTGGTCATGCTCACAATCGTCGGGTCCAGACTGTTAAAAAATGGAGTACACTGTAAACTTCTGGACAGAAAGACTGAGCACCAAAAATTGTTAAAATAAAATGAAAACCCCATATTAGTTGTTAATAATGTTATTATTATTATTCAAAATGATAAAAGTTATTCAATAGAAGAACACAAGATCTTACCCGCTGACTCTCAGGTCCCAGATCTCCACCTTGCCCTCACTGACAGCTCCAAAGACAGTAGCAAAGTGTGGGGACCACATGATATCAAACACAACCTTCTGACCAGAGGTGAAACAGCACAGGTTTCGGGAGGTCCTGCCTCCACAGATAAATAGTCCAATCTGAAGAACAACTTAGGAAAATGTCTGGACAGAACGGCGACCATGTTACCTTATACTATAGACTGGACCCATGGGGAAAGGTGCAGAGTGAATAGATGAGAAAGAAAATAAAGTTTCAATGCTTAAAGATGCATGAAGAACCCGGTTTTGCAACAATAAGCATTTAAGGCACTTTAAAAATGAGACAAACATTTTTACATACTGTGTGGGCTTTGTAAGCTTCCAAGAATTGCTCATTATATGAATAAGAGCCCATTATGACCATTCTCTGTTCCAGCCAGGTAGATTTTTGAATCCTGTCGAATATTGACAAGCCTCAATATAGGCATGTGCATGAGCTAACAACAAGTCTCAATGTAGGCCTCACATTAGGATGGAAACCGAAACACAGTCCCGGAGCCAGGGATAAGATCTTCGGGTTCCACCGCTGGTTGTTCATTATCATGTTAGGCGACTTTAGTTTCATCAGATCTAACTCAGGCAAATTACAAATTAGTCAACACATGGCTCAAACATACAGAAACGAGGCTATTTGAACTAAAAGCAGCTAAACTTGTCAGTATTGTGCTATAGTTTCAATGTATCCTCATGATATATATTAGTACACAGGGCCTAAAATTTACACTGTCCAAGCTCCAAATGTGAGTAAAAATCAGCGTTGGCAGGTATATAAAACAGTGTTATATAAATAAACAGGCCTACATACATAAATGTTTCATAGTACTTAAAAAATATTTATGGCCGGTAAATTTTCTCAAGTCATCGGCCATTGCAGGTGTGGCAAAATGTTAGTTTTAGGCCCAGTTTGTACATTATTAAGGTGTAATCACATCTGCATGGGAACTTTTCTGTCCTTATGCAAAACACGCAATCACACAGATTCCTATTGAAATTACTGGATTTTGCCTGCAAAAATGTCATAGAGCATAGATAAACGTGATTGCTCCTTGATACAAATATGACTTTAATATGAAATTTAAAGGCATTTTTTTTTTCTTATTTTGTGTTATAGAGTGAAAAATTGAAAAATATAAAGGTGATTAAGTGATGACTTTTTTTCCATTTGAACATACCAACACATTCCAGGCCTTTGTATTGGATCCATTTGCTGATTCTTCCATCACCTGATACAGAGATGAGCATTTCCCCTTTATCCTCTCCAGTCAGACCTGTCTCATGATCCACCCAGCTGAGCTGCCACACTGGACACGTGTGCATGTCAGCGCAGTCACTGTGTACACAAACAGTGTTCCAATATTGCAAGGACTTGACAATGACTTGCAATCCTGTCAACTCAAATTCAGATTCAACAGCATAATGAGCACTAAAAAAATTAAGTAAAGATCTGTGGCCAGTTACATAAAATGCTTAGACTAGTCTTACAAGTTAGGCATCTAATTTTTTTCTTTAAGACTGATCATCATTGTTCAAAAAATCATTGATCATCACTGTTACAAAAAAATGTAGATTGGTCTAATTTGAATAAAAGAATGAGTCATTACCCTTGGCTAACTGCTAGTTGGTCAAACTAGTTCTTAAGACACAGTCTTAACAAAGAGGCTAGGTTTATGCAACTGTATAAGGATCTTTGTAATATTTCTACAATAATACATTTGATCAAAAATACAGTTTTGATGTGCATTCGCTCCATAAAGGCACCAAATAACTTTCAGGTTATGTAGATCAGCGATTCTCAACTGGTTTTGCTTATTTATTAATTTATTTACATTTTTGTTTTTTAACAAGTGACAACATAGTACCAAAATCGTTTATCATACAGAAGTAAACAAAAATTACTTAAAATCACTCATGGAAATGTATAAATTATCGTGAATTCCATATCATAAAAAAACTAATGCAATATGCAAAATTACATAAGTGTAATTTAACAGACTTATAAATGAATCTTCTGAATATGAGGAATAAATAGGCAGATGTTGGCATTTAACTAATTTGGCTAGATTTTAGACAAATTAGAGTTTGGTTGAATGTATGGTCTTTGATGTCTCTGAAGTCTATTTATATTGCTACCCTAGCTGTATGCATGCAATTTCACAACCCACTAATTGAGAACCACTGATGTATAAAAACCTATTGTAACTATGTTACAACCTGTAACTTCCTGTAGCTGAAAGGAATGCTCACAGCCCCACCTGCTGTCAATGATGGGTGTCTGTTCTGCAGTCTGTATATTATAGATGGCAATGGAGCCATCATACATGCCTACTACCAACTGATTGGCATTACAAGCTGAGAAATCCAGCGCAGTGACTCCACTCTCACAATGAAAGATTCGGTCAGGCCACTGAAAGATATGAACAAACCTATTTAAAGAATATTCACAGAAACACAAGATGATATGACATGCTACGGCATACAAACACAGGGAAAAAAATACAGTGGCTAAAAATAACTTTTGGGGCACTTACACCACATGTATGGATGTTTTTGAATTAGACTATAAAATATTAGTGTTATTTATTTGAAAGAAAAATCAAAAGCACACTTTTCAATAAAAAAGTGCATCATTATGTTTAGTATATTTGTTTAGTTTACAAATTTCTCCATATACACAACATCACTGGGTCCCATCATACAGGCACATGGCTATTACAAAATCCCAGGAATGACCCATATATAAAGCAGAAAAAGCAGCCATTGCTCCAATTTTCAGTGTCACATGAGCCATTCAGCAATCATTTTAATATGCTCTATTAACTAATATCAATTATTACTGGTGCTTAATTATTATTAATGGTTTATGTTGAAAACTGTTTTTGCTGCCTTGTATTTTTGTGGAAAACGTGATGCTTTGTTTTTT